CAATCATTCAAGAGCAACTAAACAAACCACATATTTCGGATAAGGCAATCAATTAATTGCCTCACAAAAATTGTCATTTATCTCATATATTGTAATATAATATATATAAACAATATGTCGGAGAAACAAAAAACACTCTCCGTATGAGAATGACACAACATAGATCAGCTATCAGAACATCTAAGCTTGATCAACCAGTAGCCGAACATTTCAAGCTGGTCATTCAATTTAAAATTTCAGAGTGATTGCAATTGACCATAATGCCAGTTGGAGCAACAAAAATCGCAAAGATAAAGAGAATCACTGGGAACTTTTACTTAAAACAACCACACCATTTGGACTCAATATTAGGAACGTTCTCCCAGTACACTAAATTAAACCAATGGCATTTCAATTTATTCTGGATAAATCATTTTACTTATTTATTGAGGCTTGCCTCTAAAGTTTAGTTTTGGCCTTCCTGTTTACTTGTTTAGGCTGTTTATTCTAATCTCACCCTCACCCAGCCTATTGTTTCCAATCATGCTTGCATGAAATTCTCACTTTATACCATCTAGCTTTTTCTACCCTCACTCACTCGCCACTGAGGAAGGACTAGTGTTGTCCGAAAAACTCTGGTTCTATTTCTGGCTGTTTACTTACGTTTACTTTTTAGCTGTTGCTTATCATTTTTGTATTTCTACTGAGATCCAGCCATTGTTTCCCACAGTATTGTTGTTTTCTAGTATTTTGCCTTTTAATCTATATACACATACTGTATATATATATATATATATATATTTACACAATGACAATGACGGTGACAGTGTAGGTTGTGAAGAGGATGATGGTATTGATAAGAATGATGGGATGGTGGTGGGATATGAGGTGGTGTTGATAATATTAATATGATTAAACAACAACAACAACAATAATAATAATATTATAATAATAATAGTAGTAGTTTTAAAATAATATTAATAGTATTAATAATAATAATAATAATAATAATATTTAAACAATAATAATATAAAGAATAATAGTAATAACAATAAATAATAATAATAATAATAATTATTATTATTATTATTATTATTATTATTATTACAGCATGGCCAACATCAATAACAAACAATATTAAAAAAGAAAAACGAGGTAATAACAACAGACAATATTAATTTTAAAAATAATAAATATATAACTAATTATAATTTGATAAATAAAAAATAGAAAATACCAACATACATAATGACCACTTAAAAAACCGTATTTAGAGACGAATGTAACAATAAAATATTTGTGGTACATGTTTTTGTTGTTAATTAACACGGATCCTGTCAGACTTTAGATGATATAGTTGAAATGTGTATTATTACATTGTCTTAACTACTTACTACAATATTTGTATGTTTAGATATAAGGTTTACCTGCACCAAGAAGCTCAAATCTTAAACTGATGTGCTTTTGCCGGGTTATTGGATTGATACGGATGAATTGAGCGTAGACAACAGATCTGAATATGTTTTTCACCTCGGTGTTTCGATCTGAGTTTGCACTAAAAATCTAAAAGTAGTGGCATTATGATAAATACACATTTCCGCATTTCATGATACTCGTCGTAATGTCTTAATCAATTAATTATAACAACATACCTCAACTTGACCATTCGTTCCCAATACTGGTGTGAAAATGCTACCATTGGTACTGTAATTAACTTTGTATGTTTTAACCCATTGATTCCCATCACTTCGCCCTTGTGTTATTACTCCAACTACGCGTTTCACTGAACCGAGATCGGCTTGAATCCAGGGATCTGGGTCATTGTTTGCTGCTGCCCAGGCTCCGAAACCTCCTGCATCTGATACTGTGTTGAGTCGTCCTCGATGAGCCCCAAGACTGTTCAAGTATTCGCTGGATGCTGTCAGCTGGTCGGAGTGGATAGTTCCATCTTCAATCCCAAGAGCTACAACTGAATCTGCAGAGTTATTTGATCAAATTAGTTAAGCCAGACCAGCATTTGTCACAATGAAAAAATCACTATATAAATGTATTGTCCGGGTGAGTCGTTATGCGGTAAGGCAGGGGCGTCGCTAGCTACAACATGAACATAGGCGCTGGTTCCAGCCGCTCCTCGCCCATGGTTCGTTTTTTCAGCGGGAGAGGGAAGGGCCATACATTTTATCTTCTGGGGCCACATTTTATCTTCTGGGGCCAGGGGCATCCACTCTATCTTCTGGGGGATTCCCCCACCCCTTACTTTTGTGACTGTTCCCAACACAAGTGACAAACATTTTACGAACGCTACAATGTCATTATTATTATTATTATTATTATTATTATTATTATTATTATTATTATTATTATTATTATTATTATTATTATTATTATTATTATTATTATTATTATTATCATCATCATTGTTATTATTATTATTATTATATTATTATTATTATTATATGGTGCTTAGAGAACTTGTTTATTTGCCCTTTATAAATTGACCTAGTATTTTTAGTTCCTATGCATGTAATACAATAGGAACTATTGTAATCACTCTCATATTTCTTTTGTTTTTTATTGTGTGTAGTATGTGTGTGCGTATATGTGTAGACATTTATGCAAATGCACATGCGTCAAAGAAAAGTTTTCCGACATTTTGTTTTACATCGCGATGCGAAGTTCGATGTGGATATTCAGCAGAGTTCAGTCAGCGCTCACGCTAACCGATCGGCAAGTCGGCACGCATGAAACTATTTTGGTTTTACGGCAAAAAAATCAACTGCTGTGGCATAGGTATTTTGAAGATGGCCTAAAATAAAACAAAAAGCTTTTAATACTTGCTGAAATACATCGTTTTTTATTTAGATCTCCATTTTTCACTAACTCCATGCGACGTTTTTTTCTGTTGTATGAGTAGTCCATAGAGCTATTAAACAACTAGAGTGTCGACAAGATGGCGCAGCAATGCAGAGTTAGGTATGTGTACCATCCAAGATGACCGTCGTAGTAAAGCGCCACCTTCAGGCTTAGTGTACATATTATTACATATTAATAAGCCCTCTGACTGACTATTATTTCATTAATGATAATGAGTAATGGTAATAACAAATTATTAAACCATTGTAGCCAAAACGAGGCCAAGTGGAGCATCTTATTCAAAAATAAAGTACCAAGGAATTAAAATTAAAATCGTGTACATTACACCCAAACACCGCAACGCTCGAGTTTCAAACATACGGGTAGCTAGCTGTACTGAACCTTCTGAGTAAATTGAGGGCGTAATTGCAAACGATGGTGCTTAGCGAAATTTGATTGGCTAAATCTATGGAAGCCATCTTGGATGGTACCCACACAGTTCTGCGTATTTCGAACATCGAATACATTGCGGTTAGCGCTCTAGTATTCTTATTATTAAAGGCTACGTTCAGACCTGTGAGATACGCCAGGCGTATCTAACGCCAGGCGTACGTTAATCCATGGCGTAACTAGCGAGATGTCCAGACTGGGCGATTAATGAACGCTAGCGTAAGTATTCGCGCGCATCTTAGTATCTAAATAACCCAAAATTCGAAATTGTTGCTAACCAACAAGTGCCGGTATAATATAATATTTTTCATTTTATTATATTTATTTTGTGTCTGAGGTAAATCAGTGGCGTACGCTAATCTGGGGTCTGTTGCTGGATTACCGTACGCCAGTGATTGCGCGATAATACTGGCGTTCGCTACGCCGCGCACAAGTTCACACCACTCGATTAACGTTACGCTAGCGTAAGTCGTTGTGTCTGAACATAGCCATAGACTGTGGGTTTGAGGCTCCAAAATCGGCTTAGTTTACGAATTCTGTGACCCACCGATTCGCGCTACTTGGCATTCGCACAAAAATGTCAATACTATTTTATTGAAGCATAATATAATTGTCGGCAATCGTAAATTTGGGGAAACTGTAACCAAAAATGAGAATTTATCTTCGAAAAAATAATGTCGTTCACGAAAGCAGTACCCAATCACAGCACACTTACCATACCTGTTAAGCATAAGTCTGCATATTGCCAATCAGGATGGTAGGAAAAAGGCCATGAAGAATGTGCCGGTCATGAGGGAAATGCTCTCTCCACCGGTAGTACAAATTGGACAAGTCAACAACAACAAACCAGGTTCTTAACCATTAATAATGACACTGTAAGTAACCATCATATTGCAAATGAAAGTTTTATTATGAACCCATTAATTAAACCAAGAAAACGACATAGACGTGGCAAAAAGAAAGGTACGATTAATAAATGCAATAATTTAAAAATTGCATTTAATAATATTAACAGAGTTAAATCTAAGATTTATGAGATCGATCACTTCTTGAAAGACAATGATATTCAAATATTTGGCTTAGCTGAGAATTCGATCCAACTCGGCCACAAGTCAACTCGGCCACAAGTCAACTCGGCCACA